CCGATCCCCCCACCCCAAAAAAAATTAAGTTTATTTTTAAAAAATATTTTCAATTTCAATTAAAAAATTATTTTCTACTCTCTAGTAAAAAAAAGAGATATTTTCTCAAAAATAATTTCATTCATAAATCAAACACAAAATCTTTTTCGAAAAATATTTTCTACTCACCAACCAAACATGAGAAAATAAGTCAAAAATCTACTTATTTTTCAGGAAAACATTTTCCTTCGTACCAAACACACCCATAATCTTCAACTTTTTGGAGATTAAATTTTGTGTATTTAAAGTATACAAAAACCTTATTAATCATAATTAAATTCAAAATATGGTTAACAGATAATCCAAATCGACTAATATAACAACACATCATTAAACTCCATATTGAGATGACAAACTCCTCCTTCCCAACAACAAACATACAAATTACAAAGACGTTTTCCACTTTTACATCAATAACCAAAAAGAAATATGGCTTACAAGAAAATGTCAAAGTTGTTTACAGACCAACTCTGGATAACTATTTTTAGTAACGTGGACAATTAATATTAGACAAATGAAGTAATGCCTAGGGGATATTCAACTAAAATCTTGTTTAGAACGGACGATATGACTAAATTATTATAATTCTAACACTAGAAAATTATTGAGCCGTCCACTGCATCAAATGCCTAGGAAATATTCAACTAATTTAGGGAGTTCATTATAAACAAAACAAAATAGTGAGTGAATCCAGCAACATTTTGTTTAGAGATTTCCAAATAAACAAGAACAAAACCATCATTAATATTTAATAATATTGGCCGGACACAAAATTTAAATTCTTAAGTCATTTATTTAAATGTGTCAATATGAATATTCATACTTGTTATCGTCATTTCTCACACAAATTAAAAATGGTTAAAACATCATATTTCTACTTCTTTTTCCTAACCTTATTAGCTTTATCTAATTTAGTGCATTGTTATAAACCTAAAAGCCTAAAGCCAATTGGTCATTATTTCAAACAAAACTTAGAAAAATTTACTACTAATAATCCAGAATTTAATAGTAGTAGTAGTAGTAAATTTGTATCACAAAGGACTTCACCAGTACATTTTGGGACTCAAAATTCACTCAAAGAGAGTGATAAAATAGAAAAATTGCCTGGTGAACCTGAAGGTGTAGATTTTAACCAGTATTCAGGATATGTTACAGTTGATTCTAGTGCTGGAAGAGCTTTGTTTTATTATTTCGTCGAATCGCCTTCAGATTCTGCTTCTAAGCCTCTTGTCTTATGGCTCAATGGAGGTACTTAGTTTTTTTTTTTTTTTTAAAGTATCGTAATTCACCTTTGTTATACTTTGGAGTCATTCATACCTTGATGTTTGTAAATTATCTCGTACTTGTATTGACTTTAACGGAAATACAATGTGGACTAGGTGGATTCCGCGTGTCAATATATATACTTTGGTAAAAAGGTCAAATTTACTCTGCTTTTGACTATTGTTTTTAAAAACATCCTCCTATAAACTTCATCTTGGAGCTCCATTAGAATAGTGAGAATTAAATACGAGATGATTTGCTGACGACAAGGTTATGAATAGTGTAACATAGAGTACCACTTAGTAATTTCATATAGTGGTAAAATAGAATGTATCTTATGTCGTGTTTTTTTGTGTGTGAATGAGGTTCGATCCCATGATCTTTGGGTTAACTAATGAATGAGAAATGAAGAGACTTTGTCCATCATGTCCTTCGAAGATCACCTGATAATTGTGTATTTAAAATCCTCAAACTCTTCTAGATATGTTTTCTCGTGAATTTGACTTTTTTTAGAGTGGTATCAGAGGTCTATTTTGAAGATTACATATAGAATAGTTCGTCTTCCCTTAAAACAACGTACATGCTCTTGTGCTATTTTTTTGTTCTCAATCATCTAAAAACAACCAAGAGTCTTTCGGAAACAACGTCTCTACCCTCACAAGGTAAAGATAAGGTCTGCATACACACGATCCTCCCAAGATCTCACTTGTAAGATAATACAGAGTATATCGTTGTTGATCATCTAAAATACATTGTTGTTACAAGCAGGGCCAGGTTGTTCCTCACTTGGAGGAGGTGCATTTGGTGAACTTGGTCCATTTAGAGTTAACAAAGATGGTACTCTACAGAGGAATCAATTTTCATGGATTTCTGGTGAGTCACTCAAAGAAATTAAAGTTCAAATTTAAGTCATTGCTTTTACAACACAAACTAATAGTACTAATAAATTTAACATTTCATTCATCAAGAGGCCAACATAATATTTCTCGAATCACCTGCTGGCGTTGGATTTTCATATACAAACACAAGTTCTGACTTCAATTTTAGCGGAGACAGAACAACAGCTCGTGATTCTTACACCTTTCTAGTCAATTGGCTCGAACGTTTTCCAGAATATAAAGCTAATGACTTTTACCTTATTGGAGAGAGCTACGCGGGACATTACGTCCCTCAACTTGCTCAGCTTATACTTCAGCATAACAATAACTCAAACAAGACTATTAGTACTATAAACTTGAAAGGAATTGCTGTAAGTTTTCTCATCTGATCAACATCTATGCGACAAAATTATCAAAAAGATTCTATTAGCTACAAGCTATTTAATTGTTTGATGGAATTCACATGTCAGATTGGCAATGCCTATGTTGATTTTGAAGCCAATATGAAAGGAACAACAGAGTATTACTGGTCTCATGCACTAATTTCAGAGGAATTATACAACAAAATCATATCAACCTGTAATTTTTCTTCTCCATCATCTGTCTCCAAGAAATGCAACGCGTATTTAGACCAAATCGATGAAGAAACTGGAAATATCTTCATCTACAACGTCTACGCGCCATTGTGCAACAACGGATCACCCTCAAGTACCTCAGTAAGTAAATGTTACATCATTTTTAGTCCTCAATATCTTGAAAAAATTAGAGAAATGTTGATTTAAACTAACTTTTCGTGGTGTTTTTTTCTTGTTTATAAATAGATATCGGATGTTGATCCATGCCTTCCGAATTATATTCAGTCTTACTTCAACATACCAGAAGTTCAGAAGGCGATGCACGCGAACGTTACTAATCTTCCTTATCCATGGGAAAGTTGCAAGTATAAGGCTCTTGATTTAGTGAATAAAACAACTTATTTTTCTACTTATTGTATACATTTCTAAGCATAATTGTAACACTAATCATAAATTTTCTTTTTATTGAGAACAGTAACACACTTAATCTCAACTGGAAAGATAGACCATTGAGTGTCTTGCCACTTTTACATCAGTTGATGAAGAGTGAATTAAGGATTTGGCTGTATAGGTAAGTATTTA